AAAGAAAATAAAATAAAATCTTTAAAGATTTTTCTTTCTAAAGAATAAGGTAAGAAAATTGATTTGAAAACTAATGTTCAGAAATTAAAAAGCACAAGTGATATCATTTATTATTTAATTATAACTACCATTCTTTTTTTTTTTTTTTTTTTCATTTACAGTACTATTGTGTCATTTTCATACACAATATTATTCCCAACATCAAGTTTCAGATTCGAGAGTTCACATCAATCTACACTAATGTGGTTAGCTTTAAAGCTAAGCACTTATATAATTAAACATTTACTCCTTAGATTAAACAAATTAACAACAAAGGCATATAGTATTTTTATGCGAACCATATATGAATTATAGAACAAAAAATTGAAAAAAATGTTGGATGATAACTTGAGATTTTGTTAGATTAGAAACATTAAAGCAAGTAGACTTTACAACTCATCTCACAACAAAGGTCTTATTCTTTTTTCCTTTTCTAAAATCATAGTCGACAGAGATTCCCTCTAAAATATTCTTTTGGTAGTTGAAACCACCCATTGACCAAAATGGATACACAGCATAGAATTAGCTTTCCTGCCCTACCATTTGCTTCATCAAAAAAAAGGACGATGAGTGTGAACACACACACACACACACAAAAGTAACAATAGAAATGCATTGAAATTCATGACGTGAAACATTTTTCATGTTCGAGTCTGATAGGTTAAAATCACTAAATTTTAACTTACCATACAAGTGAACATTATATAATATACCATTTCCTTTAGACCCAAAGCGAGGTTAGACTTAGAAGAAGATACACATTATGCAGACTTACTCAAAACATATACCCGGTCGCAATACCACGCGTTAAATTCAACCCTAAACGACATCAGAAGTGATATTTCTACTAACCCATTCGATAAAATTTCTCACTATGAGCTTGACGTTAGAGGTCGTCCACGCCCCATCGTGAACCCCCGAGTTCCATCAGGCATTTTCGGGCCGGGAGGTGGCTTTGAAAGTTCAATGTGATGAGCAGAAGTTGTAGTTCCATGAGCTAGAAGAGAGCAAAAGATTAGCAGGCTAAAATTTATAACATCAAATCTGCAATGTCGTGATCAGATCAGTACCCGTTCCATTCACACTCTTGTACTTTTGTCTTCTAGTTCGTCCTTGATTTCGACCTCTATGCCCATGTTTGTTCTTGTGTAGCTGATCGACCTCCTAAAATTGGCAAAGTTGATATTGTTATCATGACAAGCTTTTTCATGAAATCCTATCTGATAGAAATTCTCACGGTTTGGGTAAAAGATGTGTGGCCAATAAAACCTCAGAAAAAGAAAGTATACGAGAGACATTAACCTCTTCATCAGGAACATCATCATGATGCTCAGCTATGTTCTGAATTTCTTCATCCCCATTCTGATCAGTTATTCGTCCACTACTGTTCTTGTCGGGACCATTCTGATCAGCTATTCTCCCGGTGCAGTTCTTGTCGGGATCATGTCCTCTCCAGTGTTGCTTCCTCTGGCCATGCTTACTCTGAAGTTGAGAACTGTATTGTAAATACAATCAAGTGGATATACAAGTGAAATGAGATACAGTACCAGATGCTTGAGAGGCTTAACCCGTATGCCATTTCTCCAATCGTGTTCATCATTTAAAGTAGCCACCTTATGAACCACCAGATAAACGACTATCCATATCAAATCAAACACCGTAAAATTATCAAGTTAAAGTAAATAGAGCATGGAGATGATCACTCACAGCTTTCTCACATGCCTCCAGAGACTCATACTCCACTAGAGCATGCAACTATACATAGTAACCAAGAAAAAATGGTCAATTGAATGAATAAACATAGTTTGTTTAATCTTTTAATAGAATTCAATTTACATCAAGAGGTCTGAGACCAAAGCATAGCTACATCACTTAACTACTATATAACAAAAACATAGCATCAAAAACTAAAAACAAATAAGTAAACATTGTTGCTTTCTTCTCTTGGCTTTTATAACAAGGAACAGAATAGGACACTCAGAAGTTCAATCGACATACTACATTGAACACCACATACATCACCACAATGTCCCCTTTAATAAAAACCGAAAATTGAATTTCTAGCAGTTGGTTACACAGTTTACCTTATTACTGATCAGCACATCACCCTTGCTGCTTTTCCCCAATTTGTCAACCATATGTGGATCATAAACGGTGATACTTCTTATGCTAAAAAATCCAAAAACAATTTTTCATCCAGTGAAGTGTGAGCGGAAAAATATTTTCACGAAAACATAGTTTTGTAAACAGGAAGAGCATACTGTCCAGCTGCTCCAAAAATTCTTTTGATATTCTCCTCTGAATGATCTTCAGGTAGATTTTCAACCACAATAGTAAATACCTATACTCCACATAGAAATGCCATAAATTAACCATATGTTACATCAATTGTTGATTTCATAAGTACACGAGCAAATACCCTAGGATCCCTAGTCTCAGGCAACGGAATAGGATGGAGACGCTTGACTTTCTTCCCATTAGAACTTACGACCTGCAATTGGCAGGTAAATTAACATGTGCTCATGGCATCATGCAAAAAGAAGCCTTGGTTGCTACATTCTAAAAGGTAGCACGTAGTATCTTACTAGAACAGAGGATTCCCTCAGTGCAGCAGTGATAAATGTATGATCTTGAGTAAGTTTTTTCATTCTCTTGAAGGCAGCAATAATAGCTATGGGAACTTGACAAACAAAGAGAAAATGAATTTCAACTTTACGCATTGGTAACAATACAATTAGTTACTACAAGATGTTAGGGAAAATCAGATCCACCGACAATAAAAAAATATATACAGAGAGAGAATAACAAAAACAAAGAAGATAAAATTGGAAAATAGGACATGAACAGTCTTATTTTCATTCATCAAATATATATAAAGATAAAAGTACGAGAATATGAGCAAACAAATGGGAGAATCTGGTAGGGAGTATGCAATTTTTACATACTTCATCTTTAATTCGAGATATTTAGATTTATTGTATGTAACAACAATGCTAGGGAAAGAACCCATGCAGGCGACATCAAAAAATCAGCAAAGACTAGAACCATTAGAAGATTAATTGTAGTTCGTCATTGTAGTTCGTTTGTTCTAGTACTTTACATGAAAAATGTTCAACACATGTCAAAGGCCATAATATCATGAATAGAGAAGCGAACGATCAGCAATCAACCATACTTAATTCAGAACAGTCCATGAAATTCATCACAGACGAATCTAGCTGCACAAGGAAGTGCCTACATGGCTCATCAAATTCTTCCAAAGCATTCTGAAATTATTACTTATATCGCTTACTTGTTCATAGTTAATAGTTTGATAAAAATCGAAAAAACCAAATTATCTCACGACTTATAATGCATATTCAACACTTTGAAGGAGGTCAATACTACTGGGAGTATTCATTTCCATTGAAAGATAATAAAATCTCCAAAAATTTGAAGAATAGCCAAGTAACATACCAAAACCATCCTTGTTCTTTTTGATTAATCCCAACAAGTGTTTATCGGTGGGTAAGTTTTCATCGCTGAAGTAGTACTCTACCTGCGAAGACATTTTGACCAATCATAAAGACCGACGATGTCATACTTTAAAATACTCTACAAAATTATATTCAAAAAAGAAAAAAAATGAATGAATTGAAATCCAAATTATCATAATCTAAATGCTCTCTTCAGGTCTTGCATCAAAAGACTATACAAATATTAGCGTAACAAACCACCAAGTTTATGATATCACGGCGGCCAAATAGCTCCCCTTGCAGTTGATATCCTAACGATAAGCTTCCTAACGTTCTAATATTTGCACTAAGCGATGCAAGTGGATATACAAAAACTAGCACAAATAAAGTGAAATGCATGTGAAAGAGGAAATCCCATTGACATACTGATTCTCTATCCTGGAAGAAAACTTCGGAACTCCCATTCAAGCCAGTGGCTTGAGATTCATACATAAATAATCCGCAAACTTCCAAAACAATCCAGATAGAGAATCGAAAGACCGCATACCACACCAAACCTAACGAAGAGAAGAAATTCGAGGCCCAATACGAAGCGCGGTGGAGAATGGGGAAGGCAGAGGCGGTAGAGTTACCTGCTTAATGATCCTGCGTTTCAGATCCTCAGAGAGAACAGTGGCTTTAACTACGTGATCGTGATGCTCCCCGAGTCCCTGGTCATGATCGTCTTCGGAAGCCAATGATTGAATCTCAGGCACATCGCGACTGGGTGATCCGACAGGATCTTGCCGTGGAGGCGACGGAATGGACTCAGAGACGGAGGAAGAGATTACGTCAGGGGAGGACGATATCGGAGGCTCGTCGCCGGCCATAGTGAGGAGGAGAAATGCGTTAGGCAGTAAGAACCCAAAGTACCTTCACGCCCTCCGTTTCTCCTACTTCGATTGGTTTTTCCGCGGACCCTTTTATATCAGTAGGAGACAATACCCTCCTCTGTTGAGGGCAATTTGGACATTTCGCTTGTTCCTTTTATTAAGACATTTTGAATTCCGTTCTTTGCCCCCAATTTCTCGGCGCCAGTATTATGTTACGCGCTCTGTTCAGTATGACCTTAACCGGGCAGGGCCGGTTTGGATTATTGGACTTAATTTCAAACTGGAACAATAACCGTTCCATCAGTTCTTGGCAGTTGTATTTCAAGCTCAGACCTAATTTCATGTTTTTAGTATTTAAACTATATATTTCATAGAATGTTTAAAATTTTAATTTCATTTAAAAAAATTAACGATAGTTTCTATTTATTAATTGATAATGTTGAATGAAAGGTAAATAATTGATAAAATTTAGTTAATATTAGTTTAGTTTAAAACAAGAATGAAAACAAAACAATGATGTTGGGAGTGAGTACTATGTTAGTTAATTTAGTGAAAAAATCATGAGTTTAAGTGAGGAATCCTATTTTTATTAGTACGCGGTCTTTTGGGAAAACCCAAAGCAAAACACGAGAACTTATGCTCAAAGTGGACAATATTATATCATAAACCCTCGTAATTGATCACATTTTTAAATTCTAAAGCAAAGCACGTAATACAAACTAGAGCAAGCTTTGGGTAGGGAGGGGTTCTTGCCATGCCACAACTCCAAGCCGATAAACGTGGGAAGCCGACAATTCCGCGGAACCCAGATTGAGGCCTAAACCAAGGCCCAAACAAGTAACCAAAGCCCAAGTCCAACTCCGAAAGCCCAATATCCAGGCCCATTTCTACGAGAGGAAGAAAACCAAACCCTGACATCATCGACGACCGGGCCACAGAGGGAGCTCATATCGTCGGTCCTTGTATTGTAATAAACACTGTAGAAGGCAATCCTGGTCCTGTCGGCCTTGGCCGTGAAGTTGAGGTTCACGCTTTGAAACGAGGAGTTGGAATCGGGGCCGGTGTAGTGGAAGTTCTGAGCCTGATCTCCGGCGAATGCCATCACGGCAAGTGGCTGTTTGCACTTGTCGCCGGCCTGGCCTAGAGAGAACGTCATGGTGTACGGCTTTTCCGGGGTCGTTTCCACCATTTGAGAAATTATGCCTTCTTTCCCTGAAAGCAATTCGATGGCTCGTTTGCCTTGTGGGACGTTGAAATGGTACGAGTCGATATATCGGACCGCCCGGTTAGATTCCACTATCCAACCCGGCAACGACGACGTTTCTTCGTCCAGATTAGTCGGGATCAAGACCCCCAGTGAACCGTTCCTAAACATCCATGGACCGGACTCGAAATCTCCATTGTTCACCGCATTGTCTGCGTCGAAAAAACAATAATTATTAATCACAAACTTGCTTTGCACCACATTTACAAATCACTTCGGAAGAATGTAAAATACCTTTAGGTCTATCAGGAATAAAAACTTTCTTGATAGCAATATCGTCAATGATGGGGCCACAGGTGGGGTCATCCTCCATGCCAGGGTTGCGGAAGACCAAACGCACCGTTTCATCATCGGGTTCGAAAGCGTAAGTGTAAGGGTCCCACCCCTGGACGCTGTACAAAGTCTGAAGGTCTATGGTCTGTGATGCAGGTGGCACCGACACGTTGAGGGACTCGAGCTGGGCGCACGTGCGAGCAGCACTGAAGGTGACTGAATACAGTGCCCCTTTCTCCACTTTCAGCTCTTGGCTTATTTCGGCGTCGTTCCCTAATCTCACTGCGTGTCTTCCTTCCGGTACGATGAGGATCATCCCACCTTGTTTTTGCCCAGACTCAACTAGCTCAACGGTGCCGTTTAGTGTCCAGCTTGGAATCGAGGTGGGCCCTTCTATTTCTCCGTCCGTTGGGAACCCGCCAGATGGGAGTGTTTCGAAATCCCCGTTTGCCACCAACCCTGACCACCACGTCCACAAGGCCATTGTAATGTGATATTTTAATAATGAGAAAATAAGAAATAAAACGAGGTCGTTTAGAAGGAAGGTAAAGATGAAAGGAATCTCTTGATCGGGGGCGCCCATATCAATTAAAGAAAATGACTGGGTGGGCGCCCACGTATGGAATTGAAGAAGGGACTTCAATACGACAATTAGTGAAGAGCAAATTAACGCGTGGGGCCCAACCCTCTCTTTGGGTCCAGCTCATTTCCACATTTTCTCCCAAACGAAAATTTTAAATAAAAATAATAATAATAATAATAATGGTCTCTCCCACCGCCGGGAAATCGAGACATACAGTGTGAAATGACGAAAATCGCTCAGGATCAATTCTCTTTATACGGAAAGGATGCCACCCTTTCTTTTGTCAGATTAAGAAGAAAGCGACAAATTCCTCGCGGGAAAATGTCTATTCTGGTCATTTTGTCTTTCTAAAAAGAAGAAAAATATGAAAACCCGTAGGCCCATTTGATATTCAATAAAATAGCCTTACACATTACCTAAGTAATTATATATAAAATTCGAACTCAATTAATTACTATAAATTTTAATGACTCATTTGGGACTAAAAAATTTATATTTATAAATTTATACACAAAAAGAAATATAAAGAAAAACATGGGAAATGAGTACGGGATTGATATCAAGACTGATATCTCTGCAGCACAGTGGTGGAGACAGGGAATATCTTTGAAATGGTCAGATCGGAACGGCGAGTTATCCCTTTCACGAATATAGTAACCACCGGAATGGCCGCCCTCTGCAGCGGCGGTTTTGCGGCAATGGGCGGTGTTTATAAGCGATTAATGCCTTTCTATTTTAGCTAAAATAGTTCGTGAAACAACTTGTCCGAAGCTAAAAAGTTTGAAGGAAATTAATTCCTCCAAAAAAAAAAAATTTCCAATCCAAGAAAATGTTTATGCAGAAACATGATTTGGAATAAACTACGAAATTAGAAACAAAATGAACGCAAAATTACGAGCAAATGAGACTGAGATCTTATGAGCATTTAATGGAAAAATGAAGAGAGAAAAACAGAGAGAAGCGTACCATCTTCAGCCACGATTTCAGAAGCCAAATGAGCAAAAACAAGCAGAATAAGAGACGCCCATTTAAGAAATTTAGGGCTATCCGCCATTTTCTTCCCCCAAATCTCTCTCTCTCTCACCTCAGTAACAGTGGCTTTGCACTGACCTCTCTATGCTGTTTGGTAGAGTGGGCGAGTGAGAGTGAAAGTGAGTGTGTCCCTTACCAAAAGATTCTACTTATAACGTCCAACAAATAACATTGAAATATATATTTATTTATACAAATTTAAAAAACATTAAGTTCTTTTAAAATTGTTCTATTATTATTATTTTTTTTTTTTTTGCTAGTTTTAAAACTATTTTCCAGTAAAATTATTTATAATTTTGAACCGAAACTAAAATTTAAAAATATGGTGGTAAAGTGGGGTATTTTTCTTTTTCTTTTTAGATTTCGAGAAGGTGAAAAAGAAAAAGGTGAGTGGGTTGGATTGAGTGTCGTGTTCCCACTAGAGGAGACGTTTTTGCTATGAACCTCTTTTTTCCAACCCTTTTGTAAAAGTACTCATCTCTTTTGCGTGTTTTGAGAACTGTGGTCTCATCTATTCTCAGAGCGGGTCCCATCCACCGCCTAGACCTCCGTGGGACCCGCAGACGGCCTCTTCACTTTTGGACCGTCTGGTTCGGGTGAAGTTTTAGTCATTTTTCAGTATGTCTTTGAAGAGGCTCGACTCCTTTTCTTTTTGAGTCCTTTATTCGACATTTGAAGATTTACCAATCCATTGGAATGATTAAGTTTAAAGCATGGCTCTCTTGGGGGAAAGTTTTCGCACCCTGTAAAAAGTGTTTTGTTCTCCTCCACAATCAATGTTGGACATCACAATCCACTCCCTATCGAGGCCTAGCGTTCTCGCTGACACTCGTTCCTTTCTCTAATTAATGTGGGACTTTCATCCAACCGTTACGACCCAATTTTCGAGATTTCAATAAATTAAATCGTGACAAATTGGCATCAGAGTTAGGTTAGGGTACTAATCAAATTTGAACTCAACTCTATTTATAATAAACACATTCTAAAAATCTTAAAGAAAAATTCGAAAAAGATAATATTTACTTTGTGATTTTCACGGTTACATGTATAATATAAATAAATAAAAAATTTAAGTGAGTTTACAAAAAATAATAATAATAATAAATAAATGAAACAGGTCCACTTGTATTAGTCCACTTGTATTTGGTGCTGCTCGTAGGCCATATTCTCGCACGTTAAGGCTCCATGATGAAGAGTAGGGGATCCACCCATATTTAAGTCTTGTCATAGCCATTTTTCAAGATTTTAATATTATATTATTTCAAGTAAAACAAAGTGCCTAGAGACATGGACCTTTAATTTTTTTAGAAAATAATAATATTAATTTCCGTTCAATTATATTCATTTTGAATGAGTAAAAAAAATATAATATTTTAAAAACTAAGACGAAATTATAGGTTATGGTCAAGTAATACTCTCCTTTTATATTTTTAATTATGCATTAAATATATATTAATTTGCAGCTCAAAATTATTTAGTTGTAAAATAAAAAATTCACAAAGTAGACTCAGAAAAGAGAATTCTTAGGCATACTTGAAAGTTATTGATTAAATAAATATAGTTATAAGCTTAGAAGATTAAATTCATAATTTAATTTTGATTTGGATAGAAATTGATTAAATAATAATAACAATAATTTAATTACAAGAAAGACATGATGTAGATACATTTTTTAATTATGTAATCGAAAAAATAATAAAAACCAATTTTCTTCTCAAATTACTAAAATATTTTAAAGATTTATTGGAAATTTATAAATTTAGTTTAAATATTTACGGACTAAAATATAATAAATATTAAAAAGAATACACTTAAAAAATGAAATTATAGGAAATAAATTATTTTCACATTACAACCTAAAATTTAATGTGTGTATATCGTTTGTCTGACATGCGCCTTTCTGAAAATAAGCATATATTATAAAACAAATAAAATTATACAATAATTTATATGTATTTATTTAAATAAAGTTCAAAGTTTTATCGAACTTATTTTAATTAACAAATCTATCAAAAGTGATAGAATCTCAACTGTTTAACATATTTAATAGACTAACAATGAGTGTTTTATTTCATGAATTATATTGAATCGACAAAAAAAAAAAAACAAAACAAAACAAACAAACAATAGACCACCATTGAAAATTAATAAGTAATTTAAGGTAAAATATCATTTTATATGTATTTTTATTTGTCTAATATTAGTAAATCTATTCAACCTTAGTTGAGTTTTTATAATATCGATTATTTATTTATTTATTTAACGTATGATTATAAAAAAAAAGTGGTAATTACGTTATTATTCTAATAATATAATATCTCATACGGCGCATATTAAATAATGCTCACATAAAGTTGAATGTTTTAGGACAAAAATTGAACGAAGTGTAGAAATCAAAATTGGATTAAAAAAAAAAAAAAAATCCGCGCATTTACGAAAATATCCCCAAATGCCAGTCTTGAATTGGGGCGATTTTGGGCCTGTGAGATCAGCGGTATATAAATCGCTACTGTACTATTTGCCGCGAGGGACGTATATCGTACCAGTTGTTATTGTTCCGACTAAGGAAGGCGAAGAAAGAAGCCGAAGCAACGAAGTTTCAGAATGAGCTCCTTCACGATTATCAGGAGCTACAGCGAGATCTCAAGATGAAAGGCAGAGATCTTAGAAAGTTTCAGAAAGGCAAGCATCGTCACTAAGATTCTGCTCGCGCATTTCTGTAATTACATTTTCATTCCCTCAAATTCCACTATTCCACGACTCTACGCATTTTCTTGTGCAAATTTTTGTTTGAAGATCTGGTGCATGGTTCGAAATTCTGATTTGGTGAATGATTTTCCAGGCCTTGCGAAGAATTACTAAGCAAGAGCGAAGTGTGATACAGAGCTATGTGAAAACGAGTCTGCTCTCAAGGTCATAACATTTCTTCACTCAACTTACGCCTTATCTCTACTTCTTGTCTGGTTTATGAGAACTTAAAAGTGAATATGAATCTGTCTGAAGTTTTATGCATTTCTTCTCAAATCTTTTCGTGTTCGACTTTGCTTCACGTCTATGTGTTATTTGAGTCGTTTTTCCGAGTCTCTTAGGTACCACTGAATTGATAATAAAGAGCGACATCAATTAAATTCTATTTCGGAATACATTATCTTGCTTCTACTGTATTCTACTGATCAAGAAGGACGCTGTTGTCGTCGTCAAGTCCGAGATCGATTGTTATATGGCGTGTAAGCCTTTCATTTTTAATTCTTGCATTCTTTTGTGGCGTTATGCAGGAATTGGATTTGCTGAAAGAGGATGCAACTGTTTACAAATTAGTTGGCCATATTCTTGTGAAGCAAGATCTATCAGAGCCAAATGAAAATGTTCGGATGAGAATTGGTTATCTCGCTGATGAATAGTATGTTTCTGTCTCAATTACTTTCAGTATGTCGTGGATTTACGTTGCGCTAACATTCTTCAGCATCGAAGTTGCTTGGTTCCTTGCTATCTCTGATCTAATGTTAAGATTCATTTACCTAATCCGGTCAACAGCAACTTTGTGTCGATCTGGAGGATTTTATCCATTGTTTAGGACAAGCAATGAGTTACCAGTGCGCCGTTCAGGAAAAAATGGTCCATTATATTTGCAGCTAAACGATCCTTTAGGATTGTTCTGGCGAGAGGCCATCTGGATTTAGTTAAGAGGAGGGAGTTCAAATCACATAATTGAAAAAAAAAAAAAAAATCAAATAGGTGAAAGGAGAATTTCAATTCAAAACTGGTATCCTAGCTAATTGGTGACATTCTTATCTTGACTTTTGTTTGAGTAGTTGTCAAATGCATATATCCAAATGTTTATTTGAAATCTGAACGCCTTGCCCCGGGAGGTAGTGTAAGAGCTGTTACAACGGAAAAATATAACATCATCTAATTCGAGCAATGCAATGTTGATGAAGTTTATAGCATGTGATTAGCATTAATAATTACCATCACGAACTTCTGCACTGTCTTATTGATGAAGTTTATAGCATGTGATTAGCATTAATAATTACCATCACGAACTTCTGCACTGTCTTATTCTTATCAATCTAACAATTCTCTTAATGTTGGTATTCGTGCTTGCATTCCTCAATATTTGGTGTTCTTGAAATATTTTTCATTTCTACGTCTCAGTGGATTCATTCATCGTAGGCTGACATACCTGTGCGCAGTAGTTGTAGTTATGAGTGCGCGTTATCTCTGACCACAATAATCCCAAGTTTTCATTACAGGAAACGCGCTGGTGCAATTATCGAAGATTTGGAAGAGAAGCAAATGAGCAAAAGAGAGAAGGTTAGCATTTATTTATCATGCATTTAGATATAGGACATGCCTTCAGATCGAATACGACGATTTGCCCCGATTTTTATGAGTCGGTGATGAAATTTTCTGAACTCAAATTCTTGCATTACGAAGTTCAAGTATTGATGATCACTTTATTATTTCTTTTTTTTGGAAAGAGAGGAAGTTAGCATTGCTTTAACATGCATTTGGACATAATAGTAATTTACGATTATTGCTTTATCTTTTTGGTTGGTATATGACGATTTGCCCCGATTTTTATGGATCGTTGATGAAATTTTCTGAATTTAAATCCTTGCATTACGAGACGAGGGTCAAACATTGATGGTCACTTTGTTTGTTTTTTTTTTTTTTTTTTTTTTTTTAAA